AAACCATCAACACAATCCTCCAACCAATCAAAAAATATTTCATAAATCAAGTCCACAAATTAATATATATAGCCTTTAGTGATTCCTTCCATCAAGAAGAATACATTTCATATATCATTTTCCAAACCTTATAACAAATAATCAACTCCCACACTATTTTAAGAGATACTTTACTATGTCATTTTAAATAACCAAAAAGGGTACTGAATGTTGTAAAAATCCTTTATAATATTTTGAAGAGACAAAATAATCAAATGCTGCTAATGTATTTAATGGTTGAGTAAACCAAGTGAAAGATGCACAAGTCGTTATACAAATGATGTCCTAACAAGACTTTTAAAGGTTATGAGTTCTCTGCCATTGGTGAATAAGGCATTTGGAGTAGAGGTGTCTACAAACCGGAAGTACCTGAGTAGAAGGTGAACAATCATAGAATGAGGAGTTCGGTAAAACTTAGAGGTGCCATGAATATGTAAAGAGCGAGGTAGAGCCATGATTGCCAATTTGCTTGGGGGACCAGAAGATAGAAGCTCGAGTAAGGTTGATAAACATTGCCAATATCAGAGGTATCTGAAGAATAAAGTGAAAGCCGATGATAGCTAGATCTTCATGGAGGTGAAAAAGTCATGAAAAACAGGAAGTTCGTGGAGACTAGGAGGTACCAGACAAAATGAACAGTTTATATAGTCTTGAATAAGTGAAATACTAAGGAAGATTAGATGACAGTCATAAGTTGAATAGAAACAAGCAGCTTGGATATACTCACGAATTGCTAATAGAATTGACTACTTCTATTACTTGGGAAAAACATGTTTAAAACGTGGTTGTATGATCTTGATAAGAAAACCATTATATATCTATGACTTAATTTGCAGGTCAAAAGATTTAACAGCTAGTCACGATTTCGGAAATCTAGAAGATTATTCGATGAACAATCCAATCAATTATTAATTATTTGATAACAAGAATTATTTTCTAGTTTTCTAATATAAACGACTCTATTTGTGGAAGCAACAAAATTACTGATTATATGGGTGGCGAGATATGCACTCATTTGATTGTTTGTCTTCAACAACTAAATTGATCCTATTGAAGATTGTCCAACGGCTAGTTTGGAGATTGAATATTATATAAGAAGATCAACTTACACGAAGAAGATACAACTACAAAATAAAGAAAGCTTTATATTTTGGAACATACTGTGAGTGAGTTACAGAGAGTGCTTACACTGATTACAATCTTTTTTAAGAAAAGCACGAGTGTTGTAGTGGTTCTTAAGATTGGTGGTGTAATCCACAAAGCTTCAGGTAGAGGTAGGGTAGAAGTAGCTTTGGTTAAAAGTAGAAGCAAGCTGCTCTTATATCTACTCAAGGATTACTAGTGGAATCCATGCTGGTGATGATTGTTAGCTTGTGCAAGTGAATGTAGCCATGATCTAAGCCGAACCACTATAAAGATTTGTTTCACAATCTTCTATCTCTCTATTTATATCTATACTGTTTGATAGATAGACTGGACTTGATATTAGTAGCTTATTCATGCATATATCAAACTGAACCTCCATATATCAACTTGATTCTATTTATTTTGCAAAAATTTATTAAGTTCCATATTATAACCTATTTGCATCCCTCTAGGATATGTCACTAGTTGTACCACTAAGGCGCGTTTGGTCGACCGGATAAAAGCCAGGATAGGATATGTTTTATCCTATCCTGTGTTTGGTGGTGGTCCAGGATAGGATAAGGTCGGATATAGACCGGATATAACCCGGATAAAAAAATCCGGGGGAGGGGGTGGGATAGACCCGGATAGGATTTCTAATGCCTATTTTTCCATAAACCCTACGCTCCACTCGCCGTCATCTTCATCCCCATACCTTGTGCGCTTTCACCAAAAAAATTTCTCGGCTTTTTTTCCTTCACTGACTCCTCCGGACCCATGAATAGAAAAAATAAAAATAAAAATTATCATATCCGACTTTAAATCCGTAGTCCACCAAACAGTGGACATGATATGAAGAAATCCCAGGATTTCTTATCCTATCCTATCCAATCATATCCTGTTTAGAAATCCGAACGACCAAACGCAGCCTAAATGTCTTATCCAGCTTTATACAACAAAATTTACTCTAAACACTACTTTTTTCTTTTTAAGAAATATCATACCATGCGATTCATCTTTCATAACTCATAATATATCTATTTTCTATTATTTTTAAGACATGAGTTTGCAAATCATAAAAGAGGTAAGCATTGCTCACTTGAAAATGCAAATCCAAACAATAAAAGCTACCCTGAAAGAATAAGCTCGAAATCTTAATACTTAAGTGAAAACTGAATATCAAAATCAAGCAAATAACTAAGATTAAACTAACCTAAGCTTATTCAGTAAAAAAAAATGATATTACACAAAAAAAATTAAAATTTCACTCCAACCGAACTGTAACCCCAACTCAAATTATGTAAAATCTCACGATTTCACGACACCTAAAGTTTCTTTACAGTATGATTTCACACTCGACAACCTCTACAATCAACCCAGTAGCCTAAAATCAAAACTAATCCAAAAATTACAACTCCGCCGAGAAAAATATTCAATTAGATGAATTAACGCTTCAATTTCTTATCAGGAGCTCCGGACCGATATTAATCCGAAGTGTTAAAGATGTCCAAAGGAGCTTGTACCAAAACTCTCTCTCTCTCTCTCTCTCTCTCTCCATATCCCGGTTCTTCTTTCTTTCTTTTCTCTATTCTTGGAAATCAGTTTGTTGGGCTTCAAATATGCAGCTTCATGGGTGTAAGAGATGGGAATTGGGTCTCTTGGGCTAAAGCATTTTTGTCTAAAAAGGCCCATTTGTCACGGAAAGGACCTTGTTGTTCGTCTTCTTGATATCTTTTACCTCCCTAAGAATGTCAGTTTCCATGTTTAGGAAATTCTGCTTGAAGTCGCATCTTGTTGCACCGTCGAGGGAAAGGAGAACAAATTCAGAAAGTTACAGGTCTAAGTCATGCCTCTCTCTCCGGTTGTGTGACTACCATGCATTTGTTCATAATATATGATCTCTGAAGGAAAGTCGAGTTGTGTGGTGGTAATCGCTATTCAACCGGCATGTGGTTGTCCTAACTTTGTTTTAGAGAATGTAGCAGCTAGGACCGACATTGAAATTGCAGCCGGACGAGCAACAAGAAGAAACGATTTAGATATTAATTAAAGGGGGCCGCTGGAGAGTAGTTTCTTTCTTGCATGTCATCTTGAGAGTTCTGTTTTAATCCCTGATGATAAGCACGTGTTCGTTTCTTCCTCTGTTTTCCTTTTTTATAATTCCTTTTCAGTTACCATGAAGTTTCTATCTTAAAGATAAATGCCCTTATGGCCATATTGATGCCTAGTTAGTAGATTATACTGAATTCTAAAGTATGTGATCTGCAAGAGTGACTTGACAATATAGCTCTATATCAAGAAATGGCTTGCATTCTTATGGTAATGTGACTTTAGCTTGCGGAAATTGCATGATGCTCTGAATTCTTTCTCGTCTGTCCTAACTTTACAACTCTACCATCCTTTTTCAAATATACAAGCGCACTTGTTGTGCTTTCTATTCAGCTCCATAACAGGAAACACGCTATGATCTGCAAGATTAATGCCTTCTTTTTTCCCTTTTCCCTTGTAGTATTGATTTTCGTCTGCGTAAAAAATTGGATAAATCATTGGTCGTGTCAGACTTGTTAAGCTATTCAACCATACAGGTTGTATGTGCTCCCTTGGTAATTTCAGGACAGCCCACCTTCTCATTCCAGGAGAATTGCGCCATGTCAAGAAGCCAGGAGCTTCATGTGTCATTGGCCATCATAAACATTTGGATTAGCTCTTGAAATCATCAGAAGTACCGAGAAGTTAGCAAACAGTTGAGCCAAGCAGCTTCTCAAAGCTCTAAAAGTTGAAGATTCAGCTTCCTTATTATTCTTTGCTGGCATGGTCGCCTAGCCATTTCAATCCTCTTTGCTCTCTTAAGAAAATATTGCTTCACCACCTTTCTCTGAGCTCCTAAGCAATAGATTCTACTCCCTAAGAAGACTCTGGTGGGGCTCAATTCACTCTAAGCAGAAGTCGCCGTAAGTTCAGTTGCTAATGAAGGAATCTACTCTCACCGTGGTGTTAATCATTTTTTCTACATGAAATTCACCTTACTCCCATTCTCATTCGCCGTTGTGTCTAGCTTTATTGGCTATAGCCTATGTCGAGGCATAAGCAAAGCCTTAGCACAATGATAGGTAATCATTCATGATTGCTCTTGAATTCAACAACTGGAACGTTCTTCAGCTTGCTTATGGAAGAACCTGATACAGTTGGTGCTACTTGTCACCAATCTCTTTTCTTTGCTCATTGTGATAACCAGTTTCTGTTACTGATAATTTTCTAGTCGCAAATGAATGCATCAGCTTGCTCCGTTGCTGACATTCAACAAATGCGAGCTAAACTCGCATTGGCCAATGGTTGCCAGAACGCCGAGAGAGAAAGCATTCGCCTTATATGGAAGATATGTGCGGGGGACACGTCGAGGATGATACAATAACAGAAAAAAAAAATTAACAGCAGCAGCAGATCAGGATCAGAAAGCTTGTTCCAGACTCCCATGTTTGCAGTTTGAGCAATCTCTTGATGTATAGGCATTAAAAGTTCAACAGAAAGCCGAAAAAAGGGAGGCAAAAATAATGATCTTAGTCAAGATAGATCCCATTTTCCAGCTTTCGACCTTTCTCCACTTTTTGGCAAGTACCCCTGCAATGAGTACCTTCGAAGGGTGTTTCTAAAGACCTTGAGGAATATCTACCTAACCTCTCGATAATTGTCGGATGAAATAAAGAGTCTATCTCGTTCGTCGATTGTAAAATCTCTAATATTCTGTGGTACGATATTTTGCAAGAAAAGATTATGACCTGTTACGACCCAAAGATCCATCTCTTGGTGAATCATAGAATTGCCACGAAGACTCGCGATAATGAAAATTTGAATAATCTTCACTATATAAAATATTGAAACAATTTTGCTACAATTTTACAGCAAATAATTTCCCTAGAGACTTTCATCAGGTATTCACAAGACATGACCGGAGGTAATGCAATTCTAAACACCAACTGAACTGACCACCAAGCCCCGTCGTGATCGCCGCACTTCCGCCGTGTCCGTCGTGATGCAAATTGTTTTCACTGTGCTATTGGATACACCACACTTGCTTCTTTCTCTCTGGCAAAACCCAGGATAATCCTAGGACTAACTCTTAAGTCTGTAGCCCCACATGAGCATTAGTCCAAGACAGAGATTGTCTGGATTGATCACCATGCTAGTGGATGATGCAATTTCTACCTGAACCAACATGAATGGAATGTTTCAGGCCCCCGTAGAAGAAAACCCACTTCTGTTTTCTCAACGGACTTGCTCAAAATGGCTCCTGCAAGTACATGGACAGGTCCTGAAGAGGCGAGAACTGATCCAACTGAAACTGTCCTTGCGCGAATGCGTCGTCCAAGATGTCATCCATTGAACCGAACTGGAAATCGAGGACCCTCTTCCAATCTTCCCACTTCGCCTCGCTCTGCACTTCCTTCTCGTGCGCCAAGTCCGGGGACACCGCGTGCTCCGAGCAGCTAGACTCCGTGTGCAGCTTCGGCATCGACTCCGACGAGTCCATGTACATGTGATCCGTAGTCATTGGCGAATGCCCATATTGGGGAGGTGAGTACGGGTTCAGCGCCGCTGGCATAACAATCTGTGGCTTGGTCTCCATTTCGGGGAACTCTGCCGGTTTATTGTACGTGGAGGGGAAATGCTTCTCTATCTTGCCCTTCTTGTTGTATATTCGGCATAAAACCCAATCATCAAGCTGCAATAATAGCAGGGATCGATGTTAATCATCGAGTTTCGTTTACGAGCTCATCAAATTACATGTGCGGGAACACCATAAAAAGTGACAAGAATGGGTAGAGAGTAATTACCCTCGAGTTGTTCTTCTTCTTGCCGGCAGATCGATCAACATTGGCGAGGCGGTACTCGTGCATGATCCAATTGGTCTTCACTCCTCTCGGAGCTTTTCCGGCGTAAAACACTAGGGCCTTCTTTATGCCGAGCGTCTTCGGGCGGCCGATCGGCTTATCAGCCCCGGTCGCCTTCCAATACCCGTTTCCGGCTGCCCGGTTTGGCCGTGAGCCGTTGGGGTACTTGCGGTCCCTCGGAGAAAAGAAGTACCATTCTTTTTCGCCGTACAGAGCCATTTCTGCAATTCCAAGCCAAACTCCATCAGAAATCACGACCCTCAGCAGACTATCAAATTGTCTCAAATTCACAAGAGATCTTGAAGAGTAAAAAATCACAATCAAACCATCATGCTTGATCCTTGACAACGAGAAAGCAAATGAAGAAATCAACCCCCTTTTTCGACCCACATCTCAAAATGAAAAGTTCAAACTGTCGAGCATTGGACCTCCCTAGAGGCATCAGATAAGGACTAGATGAATACATTTGATATTACAGAGACAAATCCAAATAAAGAACGAAATTTTGACCACAAAATCACCCAAAAGAGAGACAAAACTTGTCGACCCTCTTCCCAGAATGGGATGATTCACCAAAACGAACACAAGCAGAAACAGAAATTGTTCAGGAACAGAGCCTGGAGAAGCAGAGGAAGGGAGGGAGCGTGTCAAAGTACCTGGAAGGTCCCAAGGGTCGAACTTGTAGAGATCGATCTCGGCGATGATGGGGACAGAGACGGGCTGGGAAGCGCACCTGCGAATCAGGTAATGGTTCACCAGCTCGTCGTCCGTGGGGTGGAACCTGAACCCCGCTGGTAACTCCAACTGAGCCTTCTTCATCTTCTCTCTTCTTCAACTCTGTCAGAGTCTGTTCCTGTTCACTTCCAAGCTTTGAACTCGTTCAACTTTCGAAGTCGAATCCACGCAGAGACACGAGACGACCAGGGGTGGTATATATACATGCACGAACTCTGCCAATTGGGGTAATTCAGACACGTGAGGCAGACAGGTGTATCTGGATCGAAAAGGTATGGTGGGGGGCAGGAAGGCACGGAATGCAAACAACCTGGAGCTTCTTCAGCAACAAGTGGTGACGGCACCCGAGACAGTCGCGTCGACCGGTCAATCAGAGGCCGACACGTGTGGGGGGGGGCGGTTGGGTTTTGTCATGGCGTACGTCAGCTAATTTGTCCGAACTCGGCGAATGCGTTAGAGGGGAGGGGCAGTAACGGTAATTAAATCGATCTCTTGCGGCTCCTTGACCGTCGCTCCTGCGTGCCCTCTGCCCTTTTGCCCCTTCATTGAGTCCAACCCCTAATTCATAGGACAAACGAAGATCTCTTGTTCTCGTAGTATTATCGGGATAATATCACGAAAAATTTTAAACGGTACATTTATTATAAATTTATCTCAAATTAATTTTTTAATCACAAAAAATCATAAATTGATACGTCTATGATAAATAAAACTAATTTTTTAACCACCAAAAATCCAAACCGATACATGTGTGGCAAATTTACCCTTCATTAAATTAGATTAATAACACAAAAAATCATAAACCGGTACGCTTGTGACAAACGAGGGTAAAACCCCAAACTAGTATACATGTCAACTGTCATGTGTCATCCAACTCAATAATTTGAAAGTAAAATTTAATAGAAACTAATTGAGGATAAATTTGTTACAGGTATACCAGTTTGGGATTTTTTATGGTCAAAAAATTAATTTGGGGTAAATTATCACAAGTTTACCAGTTTGGAATTTTTCGTGATTTTAACCCCATATTATATCATGTCCTTAATCCTACTAGTATACCCAATCGCAAATTGCGAAATAAAACCACATTCAATCACGTCAACATATTAAGAAGGCTAAAGGGTAACGTATAAAACCTAAAAAAAATTATTCGCAGCTTAAAATTGTTGGAGTATGGTTTATACTTCCTTTCAATAGAAAAGCACGAAGGTCTTAATTATAGTGGAATCTTCTACTAAACGTAACCCTAGTTTAAAGGCAAACCAGAATAAAAAATTCGTGTCTCGATTTCCTTTTCTCGCTTTTACTCTCTCTTTCTTTGTGATTGTGCGTCGAATCCTAACAAAAATTTTGTGGTACATAACTCAAACTCGCAACCATGAAGTGAATATGCACAATTCGTTCTCTCCTTCATCTCATTTTCACCGCGGTTTTCGACCCATCTATCTTATTTTCGCATGGTCTTGCCGAATCGGCTATAATAGATCATTAAAGCATGTATGGCTACATGAACTACCCCGCTAGATATCAAAGAAGTCAAAGAGGGTTGATATTTAAGTTTCTCCTGCGGACTAACTGGGGATGGTTCGATAACTTTCGGCGGCTTTTTCTTTGAAGGTCAAGCAACGCTAGAAGTGATTGGGATTTTGACTTTATTTGACCACGGTTGCCCATCAAAATATTTAATATATCAAATATTATTTTGGGCTATGATAGTATTAATTACTCGTGCTATTAAGCAACATAAATGGCATGATTACAGCTCCCTTTACAAAAGCCAATGGAAGAATCTACATTACTGATCTGGTGGGATAAAAAATTCCATAATAAGTATAAACTTTTTGTCCTAAATGTTTCATGCCGGGAATATATATATATATATATATATATATATATGATTTTATGTTACCTATATATTGGTATTTGGTTACACCATGTCCTTTTTGTGATATTAGCGAAGTTTGAAATATATAAAAGTCATTGATTCCTTAATTTTCTAGAAGGCCCGTGTTTTCCTCCATCTCTGATTAAAGAAGTTCCGTTTACCAAATCTAGAATTAGTAGCTTACTTTGATGTTACCCTCATGCAAATTTAACTCAAAATAACTATAGGTGGTGTCTTTGAACTCATCCAATCGGAAAAATGGTTTGAGAAAATTCCCTCCAATTAGGGAGGTGGAAAGTATGTATTTTCTTGAGGATCGATGTCATCAGCGTGAAAAGACTTACCTAATAGATTAAATAAGCTTATGAAATACTAACTAACCTTAAAATGGATTGAATTCTCTAAGAAAATTAAACCATAATTCAGTTGAAATGTATTTAAGCCAAAACAAACCTACAAGCAGAATCAGAGTTGGTATAACAACCACAAAGTGTAACTAATTTCATGTTTGGCCATTCATCTGAGCTTTAGGTCGAGTCTTAATTATCTGGTCAATAAGATTAGGAGAGCAGGGATTGCTTTGTTTGGGGCTTACTGAACTGTAGTTAAGCATGTTTGGCTAAGAAATTTATAAATTAAGCATGGTTCACGATAGCTTTTATATAATCAAGAGATGTATCATTTTATTATGTCAGTCAACATTAAAGATATCCAATGTAAGGGAATAGATAAATAAAGAAATGGGGAAAAATAGTGATGTAGAAGCTTCTGGTTTGACCAGTTGGAACGTCAATGCTAGAAAAATATAAAGAAAGTCATTAGGTATATGTGAGTGACGTATTCCATGAGATAAGCATACACGGGAATGCGCAAATACAGTAGGGAATAGGGATGAAAATAAAAGAGGGAACTTAGTCCCATTTGTTTCACGCAAAAAAAAATTAAAAAAATATTTTCCTAAAATTAATTATTTATATCGCTTGAAATACTTAGTTAATGAAAAAAATTTCATTATTGACAGCATTTTACTTCTAAACATTTTCGTAGGCGATGAAAATAATTTCGTAAATTCATCTTTGTGAGTGATATAAACGATCATTTTTAGAATAATATTTTCCAAATTACTCATTTTTCACGAAACAAACGAAGCCCTAAATTATGCCCTTTTTATTCCTCTGTAATATAGCGCGCCCATTATTGCCTAAAGAAAAGAAATGAAATCAAACCCTTACTCCCCTCTTCTCGGGAAGAGCAACCATCCTTGGGTAAAACTTTATTTCGTCGGGCAATGGAATCTCATTCTATATGTATGTATTGGGTACGTCTCAAGTATTTTCATTATTGTAGTCTTCCCCATGGCCATGTGTGATTATCACATTGTGGGACCAAAATGGTTCTTTAGTTGAGCATATTCGATTTCTAAATGCTAGAGCTTTATTAGATAGATTCGACATATTAGCGGCATTGTGTTTGTCCTCACGGCGAACAAAGTTTAAGCCACTTACAAAAAAGAATGGGGTTGAGTATATATTAATTAAGATTTAAAAAACAGTAGGGTTTGATCGAAAAATAGACCTTGTAAACCTCTTAGAATTGCCTAGGCATACGGCCCTACTGGTAAAGAGATTAGGAGGTGGGGACGCTAGTATCACATGTGCGGGATTTGACTCCCACGCTCTATAAGAGGCAGAGCAAAAATTAGAAAGTGAGGAGAATTAGAGATAGGACTGACAAAAAAAAACTCCATCTTAGGATTAACTATTCCAAAAAAAAATCATTTACCTTGTTATTTGTTTTACATGAATGAGGTGTCTAAAGCTCTTTGAGCGCTCAAATAATTCTTCATCCCATTCATCGAGAAAATACTGAAGACACGTGCCTGTTCTATTTGGAGTGGCTTGAGAGAATGCACAAATGTAGTGATTAGAACCCAGATGTTGAATAAGAAAGATAAATACACTTACAACTTAAGCAAAAATGGTGCATCAACTAATTCCCTCGAGATTTGCATGACTAGGGACGTTGGGCAATTTTCAACTCGTAAACAGTAGGTCACCTGTTCAAATGCCATCACCTGCATACAAATTGCTTTGAGTTGGGTCACTTGCACAGGTCAAAGGTCTGGACATTACTAGTACATAAAATTTGCAAGGTGTCTCGTGGGGTTTCTAGATAGTCGGATTTTTGTACTCATATCCTTGGATGGTGCATTAAATTATTAGGAAAATTATCAAAAAAATCATAAATTTATTGTCCGGATGCCAATTCAATTATAAACCTTTTAATTTGATCAATTTAGTTCTACACCATTTGACAATTTGTCCAAGTAGTCCTTCCAGCCAATTTTGCTCGGAAATCGCTAATGAGAGTACTAACCATCTTGTGGTATGACCAGCGCTGATGTAGACAGTTTCGCAATTTCTTTAATTTTTTTTAATTTTTTTGAATTTTTGTCCTTTTTTTCTTTGTTTTCCTTGTCTTTTCTATCTTCTTTCCTTTTTCTTTTTCTTTTTTTATTTCCCTCCGCCGGTCTATAGCCTCAACTGTGGCAGACGGAGGTGGCTGGCCACAGGAGATGGCTGTTGACCCTCAGTCAAAACAGGCAAAAGAAAGAAAATTGAAAAAAAAATTCAGAAACATTACCAAAATTTTTAAAAATTATCAACATCCACACCGGCTGTGCCATGTAGGACGGCAGGCTAGTAGGAACGTTGACGTCCACATTAGCATTTTCCGGCCAAAATCAGCTGAAATGACTACATTAGCAAATTGTTAAACGGTTTAAAATTAAATTTGTCAAATTCAAAGGTCGCTATTGAAATGACATTCGTATAATAAGTTTAGTAAAAAAAAATTTTTGGTAATTATCCCTCAAATTGTTTGTCAAGCTACTAGCAAGACAAGCATATTATCTATAAAGTAGTCCACAAATGCTAGCGGAATATTCGAATAAGTAAGGCATTTTGAAGCGCACATTTCTAGCTCTGAATTTACGGGACCTATTATTTCCCAAATGACCTTCATGCCCCTCGTACCAACCCACGTGATTCGTCGGAGCCGTTTCAAGCTGACTCTGGAAAACCATTCAACGCAGTGGGTTGACCTTCGCCGTGACGAAACGGGGTCCGATTTCGACACGAGTACGCACGTGTGCATTTACGACGCCATCTCTGTCGCTAGCCAGCAAAACGACCCGTCGCAGTAGTAAAGAAGAGTAAAGAAGAGTAAGCAAAAACCATATCTCCTTGGTAATTTAGAGAACCTAAAGCGTACGACCTTTGAAGTCCAGGGAATCGATCTTCTTCCCCCCGCAATCGGGTCGTAATTGATATCGGAACCAAGAGAGAGCCACGACTGTTTTTTGTATATTCGAACCTCGGATGACAAAATCAAGAGAGACCGATCGATTTAAAGATTCTAGTTGAATCAGGTCAAATTCAGTGGCGAGTAAATTGAGAAGTCGAGATCTCTTTTTTTTTCGATGTCATGAAAAAATTAGTGAGATTGCTGCCAATTTTGCAAAAAGTCGTGCGAAATAAGGAACGATAGGCCTATTTGTTTAGGAGGGAAAAGTATAAAAAAGAAGAAGTTATAAACCTATTGCATTTGTACAAATTCAGTCATAAACATTTTGATTAGACCAATTTAGATTTAAACATTTAGCATTTGTGTTAATTGAGTCCATTTGGCCAATTTGGCTGGAAATCGCTGACGTAAATGCTAGTCATCCTATGTGCTGTGGTCGGTGCTGACGTGGACATGTTTAGTAATATTTTAAAATTTTTATAATTTTTATGGTTTTTTTCTTTTTTCTTTTCTTCTCTTTATTTTTGTTTTGGCCGAGGGCCGGCAAGGGTCGCCGCCTGACCCTCGCCCAGGCGAGCCCTTGCTAGATCCGACGAGGACGGCCCTCCACGTACTACATCTTTTGTGGGAAAGAATAGTTCAGCTCGATCGTCGTGGCCTCTAGCGAAGGTTGCTGGCAACCCTTGCCGGCCCTCAGCCTCCCAAAGCAAATAGAAAGAAAAAAGAAAAAAAATCATAAAAAATTGTAAATTTTTTTTAAATATTATCAAAATATATCCACGTCAGCACCGACCGCGCCATATCGGACATCCGGTGTTCACGTCGGCGATTTTCAACAAAAATTGATCGGATAGACTAAATTGATATCAATGCAATAAGTTTATTTCTTATAAAATACTTTCTCCTGTTTAGGATGAAATAAAAGCCTTTTTGCTTTCTCGTCAACACTAAAAGTATTATTAAAATTTCTAAAAGAAAAGAAAATTACATTTTGTGAAAATGTAAGTATTGTAGATTTTAAAAAGAAGTATAAATAGTATTATTTTGATCGAGTGGAAAAAACAAAAAAGTAAGAATTGATAAAAAAACAAAAAGGTTAATTCAACCAAAAACCCCAGGCTGGTGACAAATTTACTCCAAACTAATTTTTTGACCACCAAAACGTCAAATTAGTAACATTAGTGACAAATTTACCCTCCTTTAAATTGGATTAATACCACGAAAAATCATAAATTGGTAAATTCATAACAAACAAATGGGAAAAAACTCTAAACTCATCCGGCTCAACAATTTGACGGTAAAATTTAACGGAAACTAACAATGGTAAATTTGCTACAGGTGTATCAGTCTGGGTTTTTTTGTCGCGAGTATATCAGTATAGAGTATTTCGATCAGATATTAATTTAAAAAAAAAACACATTGTCAGATATTTTGGTTTGAATATATATATGTCGTAAGCAGGAAGACTTGGTCCCATTCAGGCTGACACAATCAAGAGCAGCCTAGTCCTGGTCAATAAACAACCGCCACCATTTACATAACCAGATAATTATCGATCCGTTCTTCTTCTTCTTCTTCTTCTTCTTCTTCTTTTTAATCCTTCTTCTTTGGAAAGATTAAAAAAAAAGGAGGCGTGGAAGGTTCTGGCCGCGATAGGAACGGAGGTCGTTGTCTTGCCCCAAGTGACGCCTTGCATGACGTCGAGGATTCGGAAGCTGCGTCGATGCTGCCCCCCTTCCCCCACCACCACCGCCACCACAAAGGAACAAGAACCGCCGTATTCGTCGGGGCGAATCTGAATCTCCTTTCCCCACACTCGATAAATTGATTTATTTTATTTTATTAATTAATCAATCGATTAATCCTCATCGCTATCATTAGTAAATAGTAATCACGGGAAATATCCCCCGCAAAACTTCGCGGGCCCCTTTATTTCCACAGCCAGCCGAAAGGACACGAGAAAAAATGGATAAGTGCGCTAAAAGTTTTAAAATTTATCATGAATGTATAATTGAGTCCTAAAATTTAACTAATGTGTGATCAAGTCATAAAATTTATCAAATTAGTGCAATCGAGTCCTTATGTTAACTCAGTCCAACTTAGATAACGAAAAATGTTGATGTGACTGAAACAAAAAATTTAAGGTTAAAACGATATTGTTTTGGCCAAAAACCAATTTTTAGTAAGTGTTCTATTTAAATTAAATTAAAAATTAAGCTAAATTTAAAACAAATAAATAAATAAAAGAAGGAGGAGGAGGAGCAAGAGGAAGAAGGCAAAACTGGCGAGGGCCACGCTACCGCCTCACCATTACCAGAAAGACTTGGCGATGGTTGGGGATGGCGAGCCGGCGGTTAACGAGGGTCGTTGGGCCTCGATCAGTGGTCGGCGACCCCCACCCAGATCTAGCCGTGCCCTCCGCCTGATCCTCGCCGACCGTTGGTCAGCCAACCCCAACCATCGCCGGCCTTTTCTGGCCGTGCCCTTCTTCTTCCTTTTTTTTTTTAATTTTTAATTTTTTTAATTTAGCTTATTTATTCATTTAATTTAAACAAAATAACTAATAAAAAATAGATTTTGATCAAAACGACGTTCTTTTAGCCTTATGTTTCATTTTTAGCCATGTCAGTGCTACGTAGGAGAGAGAAATAATTAAAAAAAACCCACAGTAACATTTTCTATTAGCCGAAATGGACGAAGTTAACAAAACAACTTAATTGCACAAATTTGACAAGTTTTAGGACTTGATTGCACTTGTTGAAAGTTTTAAAGTTTAATTGCACTTTCGTGACAAATTTTAGTACTTCCAGTGCACTTACCAAAAAAAAAGAGAGGTTATCACGTAACATTTTATAAATTTTATATATATTTATTTCGAGTAGCCGATAAATTATTAAAGTTCAATTCTTTAAAGAAAACTAGACTTAGGTATGCTTTTATTCTACGTGTCTTGTAGAATATCCGACTTTTTCCAGTACCCAGATTTGATCGGTGAGATCGAGTCTTCTTGTCGCTAATCGTCTTTTTACCCGACCGGCCGACGTGGCATGGATGATGGCACGAGGAAGTGCTCGATAAAATGGACATGTCGCCCCACGTCGGTAAGTCCCATAAAAAAAAAAAAAAGAAACTTGGGAGATCGAGATGTGTGTGGCCGACGCACGCGATCCGCAAGGGACACGAATCACGCCGGCCGTCGGTGTCGTTTGCGCTGGTTAACAGAGACACTAACGTTAATGGATGGTGAAAGTTTGCCTCAAAAGCGTCGCATCATGGACCACATACTTTACCTTTTACATGGAAAGTGTGGTTTGGTCCAAGTGAAATGAACCATGTGCTTTATTCCATCCATCCATTCATTTAATTAATATCTTTCTTCACATTATTCCACATTCCTCATCTATATTTTCTTTTTCCGTATTTGAATTACCCGACGGGAGATTGTCATGATATTAGGTGTACCGATCTTTTAAACCGTGTCTTTAGCATTTTGAATGATCGTATTTATGAGCAATCTCTCGACGTATGGGCATAAAGGAGGCAAAAATAATGACCTTTGGTCGAAGAAATATCCAATTTTTTCCGGCTTCCAATCTGTGATTGTAACTGCTTTTCCACTTTTTCACAAATATTCCCACAATACTGTTCGTAAATCTCGCCCGTTAATAGTAAAACCTTTAAAATTTTGTGTCATAGTTGGAATCAAAATAATAATGATAAAAATTTGTAATTTGGAATAAGGGCACGATTCGACCAAAAAAAAAAAAGAAGAATAAGGGCACAAAATTGGAGGGAGAAATTGTTCTTAGAATGCTTTTCCTTGGTTTCGATAGATATATACAACACCCACAACAGCTAAACACCTAAAATACATTTAATGACGAAGACAAACAGCCCACCCACTTCTAGTTCTTATCCTAAGGACAAAATGTCAACACAAAAAACACACGTTAATGAGCCAATAGGCATGAAAATCTTTCGAGCGGCTGCTTTTGACAATTGGTGAAACTTCACGTTCTTTGACAAAACCAACAAGAGGTCCTCTTTTCCTTACTAACAACCCAATATAGAACCCAGCAACCCACATGCTCAAAATCTTCAACAACCAATTTTATATTATTTTAACAAAATTACGACCCGTTATGACTCGAGAACGCATCTCTCAATGGACCACGGGAATGCCCCTTTTGAACTCCTTTCAATTGCTCGACCACGAAAAAAAACTCCTTTCAATTGAATTAAAGACAACAATGAAAATTGAAATAATCTTTCACTAAATAAAATACTGAAACAATGTTGCTATACTTTTACAGCAAACAATTTCCCTAGAGACTTTTTCATTGGACATTTACAGGAGACGATTCTAAACACTAACTGTACAAATTGTTTTCACTGTGCTACTGGATGCACCTCAACACTTGCTTCTCTCTCTCTCTGGCAAACCCTATGAAAATCCTAGGACTAACTCTGGTCTGTAGCCCCAAATGAGCAATTTGTCCAAGACAGAGATTGTCTTGAATGATCACCATGCAAGGTGGATCATGCAATTTCAATGTGAAGCAACCATGGTTCAGGCCACTATGTAAGGAAAATCCGACTTCTGCGTTCCTCAACGGACTCGTTCAAAATGGCTTCTGCAAGTACATGGACATGTCCTGAAGAGGCGCGAACTGATCCAACTGATACTGCCCTTGCGAGAACGCATCGTCCAAGAAGTCGTCGATTGAACCGAACTGGAAATCGAGGGCCCTCTCCCAATCGCCCCACTTCGCCTCGCTCTGCACTTCCTTCTCCCACGCCAAGTTCGGGGACACCACGTGCTCCGAGCAGCTAGAATCCGTGTGCAGCCTCGGCAACGACTCCGACGAGTCCATGTACATGTGATCTGTAGTCATTGGCGAATGCCCATATTGGGGAGGCGTGAATGGGTTCAGGGCCGCCGGCATAACAATCTGCGGTTTGGTCTCCATTTCGGGGAAGTCTTCCGTTTTACTGTGTGCGGAGGAGAAATGCTTCTCTATGGTGCCCTTCTTGTTGTATATCCGGCATAGAACCCAATCATCAAGCTGCAATAATGGCAAATATCGATGTTAATCGTTGAGTTTCGTTTACGAACTCGTCCAATTACATGTGCGGGAATACCAAAAACAGTGACAAGAAGGGAAAGAAAGTAATTACCCTCCTGTTGTTCTTCTTCTTGCCGGCGGATCGATCGACATTGGCGAGGCGATACTCGTGCATGATCCAATTGGTCTTTACTCCTCTCGGAGCTTTCCCGGCGTAAAACACTAGCGCCTTTTTTATGCCGAGCGTCTTCGGGCGGCCGATCGGCTTATCAGCCCCGGTTGCCTTCCAATACCCGGTTCCAGCTGCCCGGTTTGGCCGTGACCCGTTGGGATACTTGCGGTCCCTCGGAGAAAAGAAGTACCATTCTTTTTCGCCGTAGAGAGCCATTTCTGCAATTCCAAGCCAAACTCCATCAGAAATCATGACCCTCAGCAGACAACCAAATTGTTTCAAATTCACACGAGATCTTGAAAAGTAAAAAATCACAGTCAAAACCATCATGCTCGATCCGTGACAACGAGAAAGCAAATGAAGAAATCAACCCCCTTTTTTGACTAACATGTCAAAATGAAAAGTTCAAACTGCCAAACATCGGACCTCCCTAGAGGCATCAGATATGAACTAGAGGAATACAATTTCGTCTTACAGTGGCAAATCCAAATAAAGAACGAAATTTTCACAACAAAACCACCCAAAAGAGTGGCAATACTCGCCGACCCATTTCAGAGAATGGGATGATTCACCAAAATGAACACAAGCAGAAACGGAAACTGTTCAGGAACAGAGCCTGTAGAAGCAGAGGAAGGGAGGGAGCGTGTCAAAGTACCTGGAAGGTCCCAAGGGTCGAACTTGTAGAGATCGATCTCGGCGATGATGGAGACGGAGATGGGGTGGGAAGCGCACTTGCGGATCAAGTAATGGTTCACCAGCTCGTCGTCCGTGGGGTGGAACCTGAACCCCGCCGGCAACTCCAATTGCGCCGTCTTCATCTTCTCCCTCTTCTTCAACCCTGTCAAGACTCTGTTCCTGTTCACTTCCAAGCTTTGAACTCGTTCAACTTTTGAACTCGAATCCACACAGAAACACGAGCCGACCAGGGGTGTATATATAGAGGCACGAACTCTTTGAATTTCTTTTTTCGCTCTTGCTTTCTTTAAACGGGGGGGTGGTGGGAATTCAGACACGTGAGGACAACGACAGGTCGCAGTGTATCTGGATGGAAAACGTGGGGAGGAGGGCAGGCACGACAGGGCAACAACGACCTGAAGCTTCTTCAGCAACAGGTGGCGAGCGCAGCCGAGACAGTCAATCGGAGACCGACGCGTGCGCCGGGGGGGGAACTCTTGGGTTTTGTCATGGCGTCCGTCAGCTAACTTGTCTTTTACTCGACTAGTGTGTAGAGGAGGAGGGGGAGTAACAGTAATTATATGATCTCTTGCGACTCCTTGACCGTCGCTCCCCCTTGCCTTTTTTTTTTTTTTTTTTTGGTAAGGATTGGAGCAGAATCTCCCCCTTGCCTTTTTGCCCTTCATTGAGTCCAATCCTTAATTTCCTTTGGTAAAAAATCCAAAACAAATATATCATAGGGTGCGTTTAGTTCAGCATTCTCAATGAATTTTAGGAGAATGCAAATATATTTTAACTTAAAGCATTTCAGGAAAATGCAAATTGCGTTCGGTAAAAAATCATTTGTAAAGTTATTTTGAACCAAGTAGTGTTTGTCAAATCTTATTTTGCAAAAAGTTTTGAGATTTTTTTTATTAAGAAAAAAAAACTTACACTTTACCGGAGCCGGCGATATGCTATGGCCGCCGGCGAGGGGCTACGGCCGCCGGTGCCAGATCTGGCTCGCCGGCGGCTGTCACCAAGGTTGGTTGACCTCACCGGCACTTCGTCGTCCCGATTTGGCCTCGGGCGGTTCTGGCCAACCGCCCTCAGCCCAAAAAAGATGAACAGTCACGAGGGGCGAAATTGGAATATTAAAAAATCAGTGAGGGTAGTTTGAAAAGAAAAAAATTGGTTTTCAGCATTAGGCAAATGCCGAAAGCTCGAAGCTGGTCTGGCTAGCCTTGAGCTTTCAGCATTCTCAATCTAGCTTTCGGTCGAAAGCCCATTAGAAATGTTTACCAAACGCCTCAGCATTTCCCCAAGGGGCTTTCGAGGCCGAAAGCCCCTTGGGAATGCTGAACCAAACGTATCCGCAATACGATCTTGATCTCGACTTTTCGAGTGACCGTGTTCTAGTTTCCTAACCACATCAATCTACCTTTTAAGGCTCTCAGGTCTCAGAAACTTTCTCATCTATAGAATCCATAGAATGGCGAGCGAAGACCATGTCAAGGAAATCCTCTCTTTTTATCGAACATATTGTATTTTCATATCATGTCTATACTGGTATACCCAGTCGCAAACTTCGAAATAAAATCACATTTACTTTCATCGGCTGTTGTGATGATTTGTGAGTTAGTATTTAAATTTCGTTTTTTCGGCCAATCATCTCATTTGGTCTTTGCCAAATCGGCTATATGAGTATAGGTTATAGATCACTAAAACATATGTAGCTATATGAACTACCCCACTAGATAGCAAAGAAGTCAAAGAAAGCTGATATTCTAGTGTCTCCTGCGAATTAACTGGGGATGGTTTGATAACTTTCGGCCGCTTTACTTTGAAGCTCAAGCAACTTTAGAAGGTAGTGTGATTTTGACCACATTTGACAAGGGTTGCACATTAAAATATCTAATATATCAAGTATTTTTGGGGTAATGAAAGTATCAAATCACTCGTGCTATTAAGCAACGTAAATGGCATGATTACTGCTCGCTTTGAGAGTGGCTCGTTTAGGGGACACCAATCATATCTCAAAAGTCAACAAGTTACCAAAGCCAAGTACAAGGTCAAAAGTCAAACACTTTGGAAGGCTATGGGAAAATCTAAATTAGGGATCCATTGGGGATTAAAATCCCACGAGCAGAAAAAAGTTTTTCTCCTGAAAGATTTATATCTGGAGCTATATTTATATATTGGTACTTGGTAACACCGCATCCTTTTTCATGATATTAGCAAGGTAAGAAAAAATGCACGAGCCCGACGTGTTAGAAATATTTACCATTCATTGATTCCTCGAATATTTATATGGCCTGTGTTTTTCTTCATCTCTTATTGAAAAAATTCCTTCTCACAAATCTCTTAGTGGGTTATAAACATTAATATTGCCGTCATGCAAATTTAACTAAATATAAATAAAAGTGATTTCTTGTAACTCGCTCAATTAGAAAATTGGTTTGAGGAGATTTTCTCCGATCAGGGACAGAAGAAAATATGATTTTCTTGAGGATCAATGTTATCGCCATGAAAGACTTAACAAATTTAATAAGTTTATGTGTTAAGTTTTGTTTTGTTAAGTTTATGATCGATCACAAAAAATTTAATAAGTTTATGTAATCTGGCCTAACCTAAAAATGAATTGAATTCTATAAGAAATAAAACCACACTTTAGTTGAAGACGTACTTATGCCACGAGTGTTGGTCTAACCACCACAAATTCCAAATGATTCCATGTAGGGACTTTCATCCGAATTTTAACTCGAGTCTTAATTATCCATTTAATAAGGTTAGGACAGTTTTGTTTTATTGTGATATTAGTTCATCATTGTCTTAACCAACTTTTACTCGAGTCTCAAATATGGCTTCCGTGATGTAACATTTTCAAACTGTTCGGGTCAGATTTAGGATTTAACTAAAAATTGGTGATTTTTTATGAGATAAAATAAAGTTCGGATCAGAATTGTCACTCAGGGTAAAGTTGATGTTTTTTTTTGTGGAATTAGACCTAAAAAAATGCCGAATTTCATTTAATAAAAAAGGGAAAAGTGAAAGATAATAAAGACACGTGGCTCAATAGTCAATGCGTATATGGTGTGAGCATAAGCTTTAGTCTAATTAGGCTGACGCAACCGGGAGCAGCCGGTCTGGTCCCGCTCAAAATGGCAAGAAAAGTCGTTTTGCTTGGGCCTCACGTCATTAATAACAACAAACCCTTAATTAGATACAAAGGCAAGCTTATTTAATAATAAAAAGAAACATCCTCGTCTTGTCTTAGGTGACGTATTGCATGACGTTGATGACCCACGCACGTGACGTGGGCGTCCATTCGCCTACCGCAAGACAAGATGAACCTCGGATCCGTCTATTGACTCTTTGAATCTCCTTTCCCATTGACGTTACTTGCTACGTAGCACCAACACGCGACGCACGAAACGATATGATACGAGACACGTTATTTCTAAAAAATAGATAATTCCGACACACTGGAACATATTGTATAGTAAATGTATATATTTATATATATATGATAAATTAATTTAACTCAAATCCATAAATAAATAAATAATAAAAAAAGAGCCTAGAATAAATTGACACTAAAAACATTAATCCATCATTTCTTAATATCATTCATTGTTTTAATTTGACAAATTCATCTACATTCAATTCCAATAATCCATAAAACTTGGAGGAAAAAAAAATCAACTCAAATCCAATCCCACTTGATCCTTGCATATTAATCTCAATCTAAATAATATCAATGATATCGCATATCTTCCAACATTATCGCCATGAAAGACTTAACAAATTTAATAAGTTTATGTGTTAAGTTTTGTTTTGTTGAGTTTATGATCAATAAAAAAATAATAATAAGTTTATGTAATCCTGCCTAACCTAAAAAAGAATTGAATTCTATAAGAAAATAAAACCAACCTTTAGTTGAAGTCGTACTTATGCCACGAGTGTTGGTCTAACCACCACAAATTCCAAATGATTCCACGTCGGGCCATTCATCCAAACTTTAACTCGAGTCTTAATTATCCATTTAACAAGGCTAGGAGAGTACGTTTTATTGTGATATTAGTTCATCATTATCTTTCTTTATCGTGATTAATCCCAGCTTATCATATACACGAACTCATATTCATCAAACACACAGGCACATTCAAATAGATATATCGTGGCGATGAGGGCATGGAATAAGGCAGGAGACATTAATCCTCTCCTTCATTTTAGTAAATTGATATACCAAAGGTTATTGTAAATTGCAATTTCAGGTCATAATGATTCCGAGAAAGGGAACTAAAACAAGTAATTAAGGATGTGTTTGTTTTTGCGGAAAATGAATGAAAAATGTTTTTATTATCAACAACAATTTGTATTTAATCATTTTCATGAACAATGAAATGTTTTTTCGTTCATTCATTTTTATAAGCGATCAATTTTTAGAAAAATATTTTTCAAATCATTTATTTTTTACGAAACAAACGAACTTAAGAGGACCTCAATTTCGTCAGAATGATTATTGGGTCTTATTGGTTTAACGCATATGCAATTGGGCTTTAGTCAAAGTGACACTTAACGAGATGGCAAAGACAATGAGGTTGCTTGCTTGGGGCTCGCTAATAATTAAGTATGCTTGGCCAAACAAATTTATAATTAAGCATGATCCAATGTGGGTTTTATATAATCAAGTAATGTATCATTTTTTTCGGGTCAATCAATATTAAATATATCCAATGTAAGGGAGTAGATAAATAGAAAAATAGGGAAATACAGTGATGTTCAAGCTTGTGCTCTGACCAGTTATTTGTCGATGCTAGAAGAAGTGTTTGCTTCGGCCTCACATCATTGATAACAAAAATGAATGAGATTCCACCGTCCCGATATCATGCAAAAAACTAAAATGGGCGAAACCTAAATAATTTCTCTTGTGTCACATTCCAAATTGCCAGATTTAGGATTTAAATGAAAATCAGTGATTTTTTATGAAATAAAATAAAGTTCGGATCGGAATTATCACTTAGGATAAAGTTAATTTTTTTTTTTTCTGAAATTAGTCCTACAAAAATGCCGGATTTCGTTTAATAAAAAAGGGAAAAGCAAAAGATAATAAAGACACGTGGCTCAATAGTCAATGCGTGCATGGTGTGAGCATAAGCTTAAGTCTAATTAGGGTGTGCATGACAATGTTTCTATGCCGGGGAACTATTTCTACTCAGAAATGGTTCTTTTTTATTCTGTGCCCGGAAACAATTTCTAAGCATTTGAAGGCGT